ATCTCTCACCTTCCTCTTAACCTCCATGCCTGCCACCCTCTTGCAACCCCCCCGTGTCATCCTCAAGTGGACTGATTCATTCCCCCACCCACACCTCGTTCCACCCCCTACCACTCCCCTCCACCCCTCCAGACGTCAACCCTGCTGACCTTCCTGCCGAATCTGCTCCTCCCCGCCTGCCCTCGTGCCTGGAGGACTCACTAGCGGCCTTTGAGGCGGACACTGTCATGCGGGCAGCACTGGGGGAGGCCATGGTGCAAGCGATTGTGGCCGTGCGCAAGGTGAGACCTGGGGAGGGTGTTTCAGGGAAAAGTGGCCATGACCCCACTGTCACTGAGGGGTTTATCAGAGAAAGGTGACCACCAAAGGAGCACCTTGGTGTGTCAAGAGAGGAGGCACTGGGAGATGGGATGGTGCATGCAATGCAACCCTCCCCCACCCACAACCCCCTGCCCTTCCCCCCGCCGCCCTTCTCCCCCTCCTCGTTTCCCCCAATCCTTGTACGGTACTAACCCTGCCTTCAATGGCTTGCTGCTTTGACCTTGGCCTTGTCTTCCAATACCCACAACAGGCTGAGATCCAGCATTACACTGGAAGAGCATCCATGGCTAGCCAACTTGTACTGAAATATTAGTAATATGTTACTACCACTTTTCTTGTTTGTGTGTATGTTTATGTGGACATTCTGTGTAAAGGCCTGTAATGTTGTACCGTAGATATGAATCACAATGTCTTTTGATTCACAATTAAGTGCAGGCTACTAGCAAACAGCACATCGTACCTCATGAACGCCGAGTGAGTAGGTGCCAGTGCCTAATATCCACAACGCTCAGAAGCAGGAGTCCCATGTTCAAAGCTGAGGTAGTAAATGTCACAACTGTCGTGCATTTACATGTATACAGGGAAAACCAGAATTTACGGTAGACTATTTACATGTGCTACGACCCTACTCGTCATCATTGATGAACTTTCCTGTACCGGGGTTGATAGCCGCGACGAAGAAGAACACGATACTCGCCAGCAGCAGCGGCTCCAACTCAAAAATCGGCAACCCAGTCTCAATATTCAGCTGCGCCAGCGCGCCTCTCCCAGTAATCACCTCGCCAACCAGACTCGCGGCAAACCCTAATTGAGCCATGCGCCCCACGAACAGCTCGTTCGCCTTGGTAAACCCGAACAGGGGCCCGTCCTCGCTCAGTCCGAGCGCGGCCTTGAAACTGCCGGGCTTCACCGGCGGACCCGCAGGCGCCTCGTCGTCGACGAATCGCCCGCGGTCGCCCAGCCCGCCGATCGCGCCGAGCACGGTGAAGGCGATGAAGAAGAGGAGGAGCGGCTCGGCTTCGGTAATGGGAATTCCGGTTTCCAGGTTCAGTTGCGAGAGGATTCCTTGCCCGGTTACCGCTTCGCCGAGCAGCGACGCGGCGAAACCGAGCATCGCCACGCGGCCGACGAAGAGCTCGTTCGCTTTCGTGAAGCCGAAGCCGCCGGATGTGCCGAAGATGCCGTCTTCGGTACGGAGTTGCTTCTTAACGGGAGTTGCCTTTGCGGGGACGGCGGATTTGTTGAAGTTGAGGAGGGCGGTTACACCTGGCCTGCAGGGAGCAATGGCGGAAGCACCTGCTAGGCGATGGGTTGAGATTGAGGCGCCTTTGACGGCTGTGCTGAAAGAGAGAGCAGAGGGCGATTGGAGAGCGACTAGGGAGGAAGCCATTGCGGAAGAGTAGTGGAGGAGGAGAGATGTTTCAAGAATTGGAGGTGGGAAGGGGGTCGCTGTGTTGCTGTGTCCCTTGGACGCGGCACCTCGAGCAATTTTGCACGATCGATCGCAGGATCGCTGATTCAACCGTACTGAAATCCTGCTGAAAGCATTTCAATCTTTTGAAACCATTTTAAAATCCTGAAACATTCGAACCTGCGCAGGATCGATCGCAGGATCGGTGCTAGAGGTGCCGCGTATGAAGGATGGATGATAATCGATTCGGTCTAGCATGGAGAATTTGTACTATTTTTGTCGAGCCGCGGATTGGAATTCCAGTGGTGCGAATCGAGCTCAATTCCTGAAATACACTGGACATTCATTGTGAGACGTGGCTGCCCAACTGGAACGCCACGGTGGATGGGCCGATTCAGCGTTTGCCAAAATTGAGACAGAGGTTCAGAGCGCGGTACACCCAAGGAAAGATCGCTGCATTTTGAGGATCACGTCGGCGATCCTTGCGGAACAGTGTCCCACCTACTACAGTACAGTGATCACTGTGTCAGGTGGTGTACCAACAGAGGTGGGTTCGGGAACATGTGTAGTCAATGCTACACAATCTTTGTGATGTCCGTAGGATCATCGTGACTGCCAATCTCTTGGTGATCTTTGCAACTCTGTACCAAAGTCAGGGTGATCCTTGTTGACGAAAAACTTTCCTTTCGCAATCAGGTCGTACATCTGAAACGAGGTCGCATCAAATCAAAACATTTCGAAAATGAAAATCTCACCAATGAGGTTGTTTCGTCTCAGTATATTACACGGCCAACATATGCACGCGAAGTATCAACGTTCGTGACTTGTTGCGATTCGCCTGGTCGCAGAGGATCACCAATGCAAAATTGGAATTGGTACATCAACGAGGATCGTAATGTGCCCACAAAATTTGTTGTTTTGCTACCAATGATCCTACGATTGGGGTGACGGTGATCTCAGCTAAGTGATCCTTAAAATACGCCAGGTGTACCGAGCTCTCAGCCGCGTGTACCTTTTGTTACCATCAAGTTCGTCAACACGCGGAAGAAGAGGACGAAAACGCCCCACGTCAGATCTCGGACTAGAGGGTGTGAGGTTTGGAGTGGCTTCTGGAACCTTTTTAGCCCATCCAGTGGCGTCTATAGTGCCGTTGACCGCCTGTGACCTGATTTGTTGGACGGAAGTCGGAAACCTAGGGCCCACCACCACCAACCTTGGTCTGTTGTTCGCGTCTTATTACAATGCGTGATTGTTTACAAGAAAACTCTCGTCTGAAATAATCCATGTCATATGCTGAGCGAAGTAGCAATCTACCCTGTCACCTTGGGTTCGGGATCGATCCCCGATTATCACCTCCTACCAAACCCACCCCGATCCTGCGATCGGTGTGCCCGTTCGGTTTTTCACGGCGATCTCGCGATCGATCGAGGGAGGGGACGCGCCCTGAAGTTTGACAAGAATCGGGTGGAATGAAATCGACGGCTGTAAAACACGTAGGCAAGGGGTAGGCCAAGAATCGACGCACCATTCCAGTTCACCTCCGCCACGAAGTCCGGCGGTGGGAGGTGGTAAGACGGCTGTGGCTGTGGGCGGTTGAACGGAAACAACCGCCGAGCTTCACGTTCCGCCAAGGTTGATGACATCCCGCTGAGGTTGACATTTCTCCGGGCAGATGGAAAATAAGAGCATGCTGCAATATCTCCAGCAAATGCACCAACAACAACTCATCACTCTTACTGTACACCTCCACATCGTGAATGATATGCGCACGTGAAATTCGCGCGAATCTCCAAGTGCTTCTTGCCCCTTTCGGAAACAAAATGTCGGCGAGGAGGAAGCACGGCAAGGCAAGCCCAAGGTCCGAGGCCTTTCCCTGTTTCACGTCATTTTTGCGCGGAATTTTCCACCCAGCATCAAGTCCGGATTCCCCCGCGTGTTCCGCTCGTTGACAGCGCAGCGGCGGAAGCAGCACACCAAACCAGTCTACTTCGCTGCGCGCCCCCTTATCGAAGCTGCTGCGCCTGTTGCACCACCCGTCCCCTCCCCCCTTTTTCCCCCTTTCAGCCGGTGCCAGTGGGAGTGGGCGTTGGCGGAACTTTGCTGCTTGCTGAGCTGACCCAGGCGAGCAGTCACCTAGGTTTTCTCCCCCCTAGGTTCTGTCAGTCACCTAGATTCCTGTTGCTTGTTGGTGCCACACCGTGCCGTGACATGAACCATGGCTGCTGCTGGCGGCAGTTGCAGAAAAGGATCGTCGGAATTTTTGTTGTCAGCCTAGCCTTGCGTTGATCCACCATCAACTCCCTTCTTTTGTTTTGCCTCTGGAAGTCTTGCGGTACAGCTGGCTGTTAGCAGATTATTGACTAGTACAGCTGGAGTGCCAATTATCTTACTATTCCTGGCGACTCGGCTTTAGCTTCATGTGTCCTGGTGTCACATTTAAGTCCGACGGTGCCTAAGATGAGTTCCTCTAGTTTACGTCGTCGTAGTCTTCGATTAAGGCAATCAGTCAAGCCTTTTCAAGATTGATCCGACTCGCCACATGGAGTCCACTAGGTTCCTGATCTGAACTTCTCAAATACAACTAATAGAGCGTTGAACACTGATGGATACTCGACAACCCAATAGACCTATAAACGGTACCGAAGTTCTGGTTGGTATCGTGGATAGCCAATGGGCTTTAACGAATCCCCACGCGCTTCTTCCAGGAGATATCATTCTCAGAGTAGGCGACTCGGGCTCGAATTGTTCAGCATACGCTCCTTTCGAGGACGGCATTAATGGCGTCAGGCGGGAGATTCTCTCATGGTCTCTGCGCGACAAGCTGAAGCAGAATCGCGTGCCGCTTCAAGTGCTTCGCGGGAATAGGTGAGAAACAGCGATCCTGAGGCCACGTGGACTCAAGAGGCTCTCGATTATTCGCAAGTAGGCCAAGAAGTCGATGTTTGCTGCCCTCATGGTTTGCTGCCCTCATGGTTCGTTCAGCATATGTTATGATTGGTCTTGGATCTTGCACTTGATTTTACAGCAGTCTGGCAGCCACGTCTTTCCTCATCCTTCCCCCGTCTTCCCTCCGTCTTCCCTCCGTCTCACCTCCGTCTCATCTCCGGCTCACCTCCGTCCGACCTCCTCTCGCACCATTCTCGCTTCCCTCTCCCACGCGTTCTTTACGTCTCCCATCCTTTCCTCTACCTCCTTGTAGCTCTCTCCTTCCAACTCCATGTCGCACCAAATCTCACCGCGCTCGCTCTTTCCACTCTTGTTCGTCCGTATGCTTTGTTTCAGCCGCCTCGACATCTTGGCTCGAGTCACTCCGGCAGCGGCAGCAGAAGCCGCAGCTGCTGAAGCCGCTGCAGAAGCCGCACAAGGAGACGTCAGTTTCGACGGCAGTTACGACGACACCACCGCAAGCTTTGGAGCGGCCAGCTACCGGCTAGCCGGCACTTTTGAAACTGATTGCAGTTACGACGCCGGCGAGAACCTTCTAGAAGGCGTCATTTTGTCCAAGGGCCGGCACGCGCTGTTCGCGCCGCTTGCAGCGTGGACGGAGGAGAGCATTCTGCGACTAGAGCGGATTAAAGCGTACGGCGCGCTGCGGAATAACAAGCCTAGGCCAGTGGAGAAGGAAGAGCAGCGCAACAAGGAGCAGCGCAACAGACGCGGCAATGACTTATACTCCAAGTTACCCGCTGCTAGCGTCCGGGCTCGCCGTGCGGCGGGAATCGGCTGTTGTTTCGCAGGCGGCGTGGGGGATGGGGAAGAGGCGGAAGATAGTGAAGGGGCGGAAGACTCCCTGCCGGCGCGCGAGGCTGGGGGGAAGCTGGCGGAAGGAATTGCGCGGCTACGGATGGGATGGGCGCGCGCAAGAGATGGAGCGGAGGAGGCGGAAGGGGTCAGAGCACAGCTTCTGGCGCATGCGGTGCTCCCAGCGGAGAGGGGGGACGTTGGCGCGCAGGATGGCGGTCGCGGCGGAGATGAGCGGATGAAGAGGGATGGTCCTGATATGCTTAGGGATGCCCGAATTTCTGGCGAACCTTCTTCCAATTCGCGTCACAACGAGATTGAACCTGCCGACACACCTGCCACCCACGAATCGAGTTATATTACTGCCAGCGACACGGGCGCCTCCTATGGAACACGGAGTACGACAGCCGCCACGTCAGCAGCCGAGCCGCGGGTCGTGCTGCCGCACCTGTACTCTAAAGTGCCGGTTTCTGGGGAAGGCAGTAGCGTAGCAGGCTGGGGTAGGTGGGAAGGAGAGACATGCATTCAAGAAGAGGAGGGAGAGGATGAGTACTGGCGTGAGAGAGCAGACGACGCTGTTGCTGGCGCTGGTGCTGGCAGTTCTGACGCGTGTGTTGCTGATTCGACGCGCGAAGAAGCACGTGACATGGGAGCGCGGACCAGGCCGAGCTCTCCCACCCATCACACCACCAGCCCTGCTGCTTCCACTATCCCCGCGACCGACGCCGCTGCTGCCGGAACTGCTGCAGTAACGGAAGCGGCGGAGATGCAGGAAAGGTTGTGGGCAGGGAGGGCAGTGACAGCGCCTGAAGCCAGGCTGTGGCGGGGCCACGCATCAGGCATGCAGGCAGTAGGCATGCAGGCAGCCATGGCCAGCAGCATTGCGACAGATGGTGATACTTGCACAGACTCTCTCCCAGCAGGCTTGCCTACCTTTCTCCACTCCGGCTGCCTACCTGCCTTCCTACCTGCCGCCCCGAACCTGCCTTCGCTTGCAACGCCGGGCCCTGTGCTAAAGGTGCGGCGGCATTGCATCGCTGAGGCGGCAGATAAGGACGACTCGGGCGGCAGCAGCAAGGGTCTGGGCGGCAGCAGGCCGGCGTCGCTGTTCACCATTCTGATCATGCCAGCCGAGAGCGGAGGGAAGAAGGAGAGCCGTCGATTCTTTGATGTCAACCACACTATCGATGCAAGTGATTGCGACGGTTGTATAAGCGTGCTTTGGTTCTTGTTGCCTGCTTCTATCTGAGAGCGTTCTTTTGTTCTAAGCCGGTCTATCAGAGTTGCAGGATATGGCTTGGAGCATTGCAGCTGTTGTGTTTCTGTTGCAACGAGTCTTTGCTCTGATACAACCAAACTTTCTTCTCCCCTTCAGACCTCTCATCTCCCTTCCCATCTCCTCCCACTCCTGAACCCCTCTCTCTCGCTCCCTCCAGCGTGCCCTGCGTTGGTTCGCCTCAGTGCGCGCCAGCGGAGCAGCACTCGAGCTGATGAACGCTCAGACCGAAGTCCTGCCGGTGCGGCTGGGCGGCATGGACGGCGACAAGCTCGCCAAGATGGCGCAGTACGGCAAGTGGACAGTAAAGACAAACGACGAGCAGCGCGGGGATCATATCTCCGTCCTCCGCGCCGTCCGGCTCTGGCTGGTCCCAGATTCCGAGGTGGAACTTACCCTGGTGCTGGCTTCCGGTGGGGTAAATAACGCGGCGTGCCCTCCCGATTGGGGGTTACTTCTGGAACAAACCCTCGAGGGTGTGGTGCATGTGGTGGGGGTGAGGGGGGGCAGTCCGGCTGAAAAGGGAGGAGTGGCCATGCTGCTGAGGATGGCACGGGCGAAGAAACGGCTGCTGCTGCTGTCGCGGCTGCAGGGACAGGTGCTGCTGCCGTCGGTGATAGCCAATGGGCAGATAGACTGTGCTGACGTGGAGGCGCTACAGGAGCAGCTGGTGCTGCAGGCGCATCTGCCGTCCATCCCGCTGCGCCTCACGTTTGCCCTGTGAGGGGCCAGGGAGGATCTCCATGGTGAACACTCTCAGAGATGCTTTTCTTCAAAGGCTGCTGCTACCGCTGCTTCTGCTATCCGTCCTCCTACTGCGGCTGCTGCTGCTGCTGCTGCTTCAACCGTGGGTGGGTGGGTTTGTGGGGCACTGTCGTGCTTCTGCTCTGTTCTGTTGTGGTCCCAGATGCCTGCACTCCAGCGATTGGAATATTGCAGTCCAGAGGGGAGGAGACTGCTGGCTGCATTGTGATTGGGGGAAAGTCAGGGCCTTCATGCTTCATGGAGCGACGTAGACGGTTCAGCTGTTATTCTTTGGGGGGGTGGGAGAGGGGGAGGGAGGGAGAGGGGGAGAGGGGGAACTTACAAGCTCCACTGATCAACATCGGGGGGTCATACACACACCTCTGGACTGGATTCCCTCGCAACCCTCCCTTTTCCATGCACACAAATACACGCTTCCACCATTTCTCTTCTCTTACCTCTCTCTTACCCTCTCCTTTTCCTTCCTCCTCCTGTCACCAGGTCATCTCACCCCTCCACCACTCTCTATTCTCTCTTTTCCTTTTTGCTTACCCACTCTCTTCAAGGTGGGATTTATTGCTAGCCCGGTCCTGAAAACGGGCAGCCCATCTTTTCATCACCTCCTGCTTTTGCTTTCATAAGTGGCTCCTATGCCCGTCCCACGTGGAGGCCCCTTCTGGTGGCCTGTTACAGCAAGTGTTCGAGCACTTATGAATGTAAAAGTACGAGACTGTAAAGACAAGCGCTTTATTGCGCAATCCTTTCTAACGATTTTTATGAGTGGCTTTCAAATGTGGTTACTTGAGCTTAAGCATATTGTTTTATATATTTGTGGAAACACACCATGAAGAGCATAAAGTCATTATCGTTATAAGCACGATCACCACAGCACACGAAGCAGGCCGCCCAAGCAGGCCAACAAATGTTTCAGTTGCTCGTTCGAAGGGTCGTATTTTAATAGGGTCGGACGCGGCTGTATAGGGTCTGGTCTGGTATAGCATGGATACAGTGCGGTGGCAAGACGATATCAGGTCAATCCCTAGGGATTGCCGCCAAATGTTTGTACTGTACAGCTAAACCCTGAATGGAGTCTCTGAAATTGCCCTCAACTGAGTATTGCGTCAGTTTCAAATGACTGAGACAATACTCAAAGCAAAGAAGACCTGAAGCCAAGACCAGTCGACTAGCTCTCATGCGAAGGAGCTTCGAGTTCCCTTCGGCCCATGCGAAGAATGGCGACAAATGGAGTGGCGGCGAATGGAAGGCGATGAATGGAATGGTGATGAATGGAGTGGCGACGAATGAAGCGTGGCATAGGCTATACCAGGCCGTTCTGGCAGTGGTGACTCGCGAAATACACAGCTCTACTGACTGACCGAGTTAAGCACGTCAGCTGGCATGGAAGATCAGAAGCGCCACGTCAGTCCGTCAGTACCCGGCCAGCGTCAGGTCGACCGCGACAGTCAAATGGATGGCGACCGTCGAACGGACGGCAACGACAAAGGCGACTGGAACGACGAACCGGTGCCGTCCGTTTCCAATACAGGTCCTCTCATCCCTGCATCGCCGCCGTCCGTCTCCATGATACCAGTGCTGTTTCAAGGAGTGAGGGTGTCGCCATGGCACGACGTCCCTCTCTATCCAGCCGACGATGAGGACCCTTCGTTAAATGCGCACCCGCACTCTGATTCGCTGGAATCGAGCTCTGCGACGTCCGCGACGTCGTTTCGAATGATTTGCACGAATCCTGCAGGCAGGCGTCGCATGCACGTAATCTCGCCAATGGACGGTCAGATCGTCGCCAGCTGCTTCGGCAATACCAATGGATCTACCGCTGCTGGCTCTCCCGTTGCTGCTGACTCTACCGCTGCAGACTCTGTCGCTGCTGGGTGGAATGATGACGCGGGAGGCTTCACGGTGGTGGATTTCCCCTGGAATTGCGGAGTGCTGCCGCAGACCGCCGCTGCCTCGTCAGCGGCGTCGCTCTCAGATGCTGACGTGTTGCTGCCTGTGGAAGCGGTAGACATTGCGCCGTCTCTGCACTCAGCTGGAGATATTTATGAGGTGCAAAGCCCTTTCTTTTTTAGCACTTGTACATATGAGGTGCGATGCGGCTTCTGACCGAGCGACTCGATTATTGTCGCTTTCTTGTCCTCCCCCTTTTTCTTTCTTGTTCTCTGCCCTCCTCTGTTGCCAAACCCACCACGCAGTGCTTCTGCCCTGCACCTCCCACCAGGTGGGTCTACATGTAGTCATTGCCATACCCAATCCGTATTCCCCAATATCCCTCCACGTCCCTATCCTCCCTTCCCACCTGCTGCCTTACCCCGCTGCACTGCCTTGCCTCTGCCTTCTGCCCCACCTGGTTCTCCCCCCTCATCCCCACACGCCCCCCCTCACATCCCCCCTCCTACCAGGTGCGTGCACATGCAGTCGTGGCCATTCCCAATCCCCTCACACTATCCGTAGCATACCGCCTAGTTGTGTCTGACGTCAGCGCTGAGTCAGCACCGTCTGAGCTGGACGGGAGCGCGCTCATGTCTGTGCTTCAACGTATCTGTGCTTGGCTGGAAACAGCTGACACGTGGCTGCTCTCAGGCCATCCTGACGTGGCAATGCAGGCCACCGTGGACCCTGATGAGGTGGCAAAGGTGCTGGATGAGACCCACGTGGCATGGGCTGAGCTGTACGTGCTTTCTCAGCCGTTCTCTCCCAGTGAACTCCCCCTCTCATCCATACCCGAGTACGCAGCACACACCGAACCTAGTGCAGCAGCAGAAGCACCCACAATTACCCCCACACTCACTCCCACTCTCAAACCCACATCAACACCCACACTCAATCCCACACCCACACTCACTCCCAATCCCACACTCACTCCCACACCCACACTCGCACCCAATCCCATGCTCTCACCCGCTCCTAGCTCCTCACCGCCTGATACCTCCGCACGTCCTTACACACTTCCACTAACAGACACGGCCCCTGTTCCCAGACCAGGCTCTGCACCCTCCTGCACTCGTGCTGCTGCCGACTCACCTGTCGCAACACATGCAGCGGCGACAGGAGCAGGAGCAGAAGCAGGGGCAGTGGGGGTAGCAGCAGACAGGCCAGGTGATGAGGCAGCCTCATCGGGGAACCCTCCAGCCCTCACAAGACGCAGCTCCACAGGCGGCCACTCTGCCTCCAGGGTCGCTCCCTCTGCTAGCCCTCACCCGTCCGCCTCTCACCCGTCCGCCCCTCTCCCTTCCGCCTCCTCCTCTTCCACTCGGTCACATATCAGTGCCGCGCACAGTGGGGGCACACTCACTGGGGGCGCGCACAGTGGGGGCACACTCACTGGGGGCGGACAGGTAGGCGCACACAGCAATGGCGCATACAACAGTGGTGCACAGGCAGGCGAGAGGTGGCGAATGGCAGCAGCAGGGGCACGATCCATGGCTGTTGGTGGCGGGAGGAGAGGAGGGGGCAGAGGGGGGACGGGGAGCGGAATGGCTGCTCGAAAAGGGGGAGGAAGAAGGGTAGGGACTTCTGTAGAAGCAGGAGCGGGGGGTTGGGTGGAAGGGAGTGGTGGTTGTGCTGGAGGGGTGAACGGCGGGAGTGGCGGGAGAGGAGGGAGAGGGGCGAGAGGAGGGAGAGGAGAGGGCGCGTTTGTGCTGAAGGGAAACATTTTGCCGCAGCATGCAGTCAACGGCCCTTCTGCTGCTCATGCTGTTGGTGCTGGTGCTGCTGCTGGTGTTGGTGCTGGTGCTGTTGTTGCTACTGCTCTCGGTGCTGCCAGTGGTGCTGCCAGCCCTGCCCCTGATGCTGGTCCCAGGCCTCTTGCTGCTGCCTCGTTAGCTGTCACTGTCACTGCTGCCTCTGTCACTGCTGCCACTGTCACTGCTGCCTCTGCACCATTCCCAGGGCCATACCATAGGCGAGCAGAATCTCATGGTGCCATACCGTTACAGAGCCACCACCGGTTACCAGCAGCATCTAGTTCACAGGGGGCTTTTCCCTTACAGCCCCCCCAGTCACCATCAGCTAGGTCACAGGGAGCGATACCGTTACAAAGTTCCCGGTTACAGGCAGCTAGGTCACAGGGGGCCATACCGTTACAAATCTCTCGGTTACCAGCAGCACCTAGGTCACAGGGGGCTATTCCGTTGCAAACCCCCCAGTCACCATCAGGTAGGTCACAAGGAGCAATATCCTCACAGGACTCACGGTTACAGGCAGCTAGGTTACAGGGGGCTATTCCGTTGCAATCCCCCCAATCACCAGGTAGGTCACAAGGGGCAATACCGTTACAAATCTCTCGGTTACCAGCAGCACCTAGGTCACAGGGGGCTATTCCGTTACAACCCCCCCAGTCACCAACAGGTAGGTCGCGGGGGAGCATACCGTTACAGAGCTCCCGGTTACAGGCAGCTAGGTCACATGGGGCCATACCATTACAGATCTCCCTGTTACCAGCATCTAGATCTCAGGGGGCTATACCGTTACAGAGCCCCCGGTTACCAGCAGCAAGGGCACAAGGGAGCATAACCTCAGAAATCCAGCAATCGCCTAGGCACATGCCCCATGACGGCATACAGTTACAGAGCCCGCGGTTACCAGCGGCACGGTCAGATGGTGCCATACCGTTACAGAGTGTGCGGTTACCAGCGACAGGAAGAGGGAGGGCAGCAGCAGGAGAGCAAGGAAGGGTCGTGGTGAAGGCAGCTTCGGAGTGGCTGGATCCCAGAGGGCGACACTACCGCGCAGCTAGTGCTAGCTTTGACACTGCCACCCCTACCACCACTGCTGCTTCTGGCGCTGTTGCTGCTACTGCTGCTGGTCCCGCTGGTGCAGGTAGAAGGGCTGTGGTGAAGGCAGCTTCTGAATGGCTGGAGCCCAGAGGGCAACACTACCGAGCAGCTAGTGCTAGCTTTGACACTGCCACCCCTGCCACCACTGCTGCTTCTGGCGCTGTTGCTGCTACTGCTGCTGGTCCCGCTGGTGCAGGTAGAAGGGTTGTGGTGAAAGCAGCTTCTGAATGGCTGGAGCCCAGAGGGCAACACTACCGAGCAGCTAGTGCTAGCTTTGACACTGCCACCCCTGCCACCACTGCTTCTGGTGGTCCTGCTGATGCAAATAGAAGGGTTTTGGTGGAGTCAGGTTCAGAGTGGCTGGAACCAAGCGCACGGCACAACCGCGCAGCTAGTGCTAGCTTTGACACTGCTACCCCTGCCACCGCTGCTGCCTCTCCTGCTGCTAGACCTAGTTTTCTTGGTGCTGCTGCTGCAATTGCTCCTAGTGCTGGCCGAGGGGCGGGGTGGGAGAGAGGACTCACCCGATCCATGTCAGCACGGGAAGGGCGCGCAGGGGAGGGGCGAGAAGGGGGGGGAGGGGTAGGGGACATACAAGCAGGCAGGAGGGTTGACGGGGAAGCAGGGCTCGGCCCGCTGCAATTCGCACCTGCGGTGACATGGGAAGCAGGGTTTGCTAGGTCTAGATCCGCACTGGGAGTGACCGGAGCACCTCAGGCAGAGGGAACACTGCCGGGGCATGAAAGAGAGGGGATGGGAGCGGCATCACATGACGGGGCGATGGGGACGGCGGGGAGGGGGAGAGCAGTTATCGGGGGTGGGAGAACGGGGAGTGGTCGCAAGCAGAGCCTCTCTATTGGGTCCGCCAGTGACCTCCTGCCTCACTGCTCGCCCCATGCTCCTCGTTCCTCAAGCCTTGCACAAGATCACACCCCAGACAGTCACTTCCAGTACACTCACACCCCAAACAGTCACTTCCAGCTGGCGCATGGGCACTGCAGTAGCCTGCTGCCTGTGAGTGAGAGTGAGGTGGTCGAGGCGAGCACAGTGCCTTGGCAGGGACATAGTGGGGCAGGCAGTGGCGTCAGCAGCAGCAGCAGCAACAGCACTGGTGGCAGTAGCAGCAGCAGCAACAGCAGTGGCGGCGGTAGCAGCGGCGGCAGCGGCGGCAGCAGCTACAGCAGTGGCAGCGGCAGCAGCAGCAGGTCATACTGGCAGAATGACCCTGTGCCGTCCAGGAACCCTGCCAGGATGGCAAGGCACAGTGTAGACTGGGCTCATGACAGCCCCATGCAGCAGCAGCAGCAGCAGCAGCAGCAGCATAGGAGGGGTGCAGGAGTAAAAGCGCGATTTGAAGGGCACAGGCCGCCGCCATCGCCAGGGTCTGCTGCCAGGCAGAAGGAGAGGGCGTTTCGACGCGCCAGCACTGATTTCAGTGACCGCACTGACTTTAGTGACCGCGCAGGCTTGGGCCGCCATACAGGCTTGGAGGCGGCTGAGCGGTCTTGTTACAATAACCGCGGAGCTGCGGCATCCGCGGGTGCACAGGAGAGTGCGGAGTTCAATGCACACGGGGTTGCAGCATTTGACGCACAAAGGGGTGTTGCACTGGACTCACAGAGGGGGTTACCATCACAATTGGAAGAGTCTGTGCCATTGCCTGAAACCACTCTCGGGCAGAAAGAAAGGGTGTTTCGGCGGGCAAGCTCAGACTGGAGCGACCGTGGTTACTGGGAGCCTGGCGTGCAGTCACATCAAGACAATCACGAGGGGTAATGTTGGTGTTAGCGGTAGCAATGACGCTGCCTCCAGCAGCGTTGGTGACTTCTGAGGCGCCTTAGAAAACCTGCGGGGCAGTCATCATGACAATCATTAAGGGTAATGTTGGTGGCAATAGCACTGCCTCCAGCAGCGTTTGTGGCATGGGTAGGTTACAGTTGAGAGCAGCAGAGCAAGTAGCTACGTATCAGCAGCCACGGCCCAGTTATTAGAAGTCGCAACCCATTTCAAAGTGGGCTAACCCACTTAAAAAGTGGCAATATTCGCTAACCCCCATGTACAGACAGGTGGTTTTGAATGAGAATGATGCACAGATGAGTAATGCAATTCTGTCCACTAGAGGTGTTGTCCACAATCTTGTAGTTCACTGTAGTACACGGCAAATCTCTGTGAAACTAATCGAGGTTGTAAGGAGGGAGCTTCCGCCTCACAATATCTGCCATCTGTCAACCTTGTTCACCAATCCCTACACACTTTTTCCACCGCGTCGCCACGTCACGTCCCGTGGACCACCATCAGCCGAACCGTCACATTGCCCCCTTGTTCACTGGACGACGCTCATCTCCTCGTCAGCCCCTCGAAAGCCGACATAGCCCAGCTCCTCCGTGAGCGGGAATTCGGGTGATCGGCGATTTCCATCCGTGCATCTCGAGGTGGTGAGGTCAAATGACAGCCAGCCAGCCCAGCTGGGGGGTGAGCAATCTCGAGGTGCCTCTTCTCAGAGGCACACATTCAGGCGGGCCGCCATCAGCGCAATGACGCTCGAGTTGCCAGCCACCAGCACGCAACGCAACCTCCCTGACCAAGCCATCGCATAGAGTACACAGTTTGTTTGTGCGATGTAGTCCATTGTAGTCCGGTTCGAAGCGTTGGGATGTGGTGCTTGGGGTCCCCCACAAGAGATGCGATCAACGCCATGGCGTCTGACTGCTGACTGTCGTGTCGAGGATGGCGTCTGGTGGGAGCTGACGACAGCCTCGAGATACGCCAGGGTGGCGTAGAGTCCTAGAACCCACTAAGCACCACTAGCGGTTCCAGCGGTTTCAAGTCTCGAGTATTGATCAGCTCGAGTCGCGGTCAGTTCAGTCAGCCGTTGTGCTGCAGAGACCAGTGAATGAGCAGGATCAGTGAATCAATCGCGGAGTTGAATTCATGCATTCACGATAGTAGACAATCAATCTGAGTTGGCGATTCCGACTTGTTAGTTACCTCGAGATTAGCTTCTCACTGTTGAGGGATCTCACTATATTAGTAAACTGTTTCTTATAAAAGTGCGAAGACACTGGCAGAAGTGAAATAGATTCGTCAATTACTCCTGCGATTTTATCTTCCTAAGTCTTTGCGAAACCTTTTTTTTCTATCGACAGTAGCGTAGGCTAGGATTGGTTACTTGTCCCTCATCTCTTAGAACTGCTGTCATCTCACCAACATGTCAGCAACATCTCTTGTCTCACGGCCTCAAACTGCTGGTTACACCAGCAAGCTATGTACCAGCACCGCTCGCAATGACTGCACGCGGCTTTTAGTGAACCATGCTAGAGTCAAATTCCCTCGCCGGCGAGCGTTTCGAGGAGTTAATATCCGCTGCGATGCCCACGAGAGTACAAAAAACCATGGATCCGGATTAGTCGACGAAGAGTCGGCTTTAAAGGAGGAGCTCCGGAAAGCGACGCGGTTCGAGAAGCGATTAGAGGCTCGAGTTGGTGTACCGCAAGAGCTGGAGATTTTTACGGGCGACGAGCTGCACTATGTGGAGACGTCCGACGGATGGCGACTCGCGCTCTGGCGTTATCTCCCTTCTGAATCCGTGTGTATCTCCTCCGCTCCTGTTTTCCAGACCCTTTTATTCCTCTCCTCTCTCTGCTTAAATTATCTACAAACGGCGCTTCCGTCGCCTCGCTTTGATGTCTCTCTTGCGTCAAGATGGTCCAATTCAATTCACCGTGTGATGTGATTTTGTCGTTCTTGCTGGTGTGTGCGAATCAGGTTCCTCGGAAAGCTCATCCAGTCCTTCTCCTTTCCGGTATTGCCACCAATGCTCTTGGATACGATTTATCACAAGAGGTAACTTCTTTCTCATTTCTGCCATTGAGTAAATGTCGTTTTTCCTCTGAGTCTTCCATGTTGCCTCCCTGATTTTGAAGCCAAACTTTGTTTTGGGGATTCCAAAGAAGCCACCCTGGTTGACACGTCATCATCTGAGCCCTGTTTTCCTGCAGGTGTCTCTGGCTAGACATCTGGCAGATCAAGGGTTCGATACCTGGGTGCTCGAGCTACGTGGAGCAGGCTTAAGCCAGTCTCCCTTCTCTGTAGCAGGGGCGCACGGTTTGTCATCTGCCAAGAGTTCTGCTATTGGTCCTATAGAAGGACCCCCTATTACATTCGTTAATGGTTCTGTAAATGGCACGATGAACGCTGCCATTGATACTGGAGACTCAGTTAATGGGTTTCCAGTTAACGGAGCTTCTACTATCGAGCACGTGAACGGAGCTAGTCCGAATGGCTCGGCTGTTAGTAGTAGCAGCAGCAGAACAGATGGTACGACAAACGGCTCTGTGTTCACTCCGTTGTTTTCAAGTGATGACGAAGATTCAACAGCAGCTGCCGCTGCAGCAACATCAACAGCGACAGCAACGGCAACACCAGCAGAAGTTCCAGAAAGGCCTGCGGTGACGAGTTCCGATGTGGCAGAAGGTTTCAGCGTTTCGAGCAGCTTATCTCGAACCATGCAGCAGCTGCGAAATTATTTCGACCAATTCACCCGTTCAGAACCAGCCATGGACCCCCAGGCACTTAGGCCCAAGCTAAAATTGGCGGAGGTTAGATTGAGAGAAGCTCTGGACCAAGCGGAGCTGCAGCAGCCAGTGGCGCTGCTTGACTTGCAGCACATGCTCGTGCAGCTGCAGACCTGCAGTGACGTGGAGCTGACGTCATCTGGCGTGACACAGCTTAGGCAAGCCCTGGATTCGTTCTTCCGCGATGCTGAACAATCACCTGAAGTTTCACCTGAGGCTTTTGCAGCGATGAAAGATCTGGCTGGTATGGTAGGCCCACTGAAATCCGACACCACTCTCCCCACTGCCGCTGCTTCGTTCCTACAACAGACCACCCGCCTGCTCAGCAGCAGCATCGCCTCTTCCAACATTGAGAAACGGCTAGCTGAGCTTCAGAAACGGCTGGGGGAGATTGTGGAGTCTAGACAGGGCGTGGCGACGCCGGGAGTGGCTGAGCTTTATGAGCAGCTGATTGGCGTGATTCTGCAGACGCAGGACGTGGCGAGCCTTGCCAAGGAGTATAACTGGGATTTTGACACGTATTTGTATGATGACCTGCCGGCTGCCATTCAGTATGTGCGGAAATGGTCCCGGCCGCACGATGGGAAGATCCTGGCCGTCGGTCACTCCATGGGGGGAATTCTGCTGTACTCGCGAATGGCTGCTCTGGGTAAGAATCTGCTTTAGTAGCTGGTATTCATTTGTGATATTAATCTGTTTCTGGTGTTCTTGTGGTCTCGTCTGTTCCCCTCTCTCGCTCACTCTTTCTCTCGTCCTCTCGCGCTCTCGTTCTGCAGGTCCGGATGCGGGTCTGTTGGGGGTGGTGACGGTGGCATCGTCACTTGAATACTGGATGGCCAACTCCAGCTTGAAGCTTCTACGCCCACTCGTAAGTGCTTCTATTCAACATGGCTGTATGAAGGATGTAATCGTGCACACCACCATACTAGTATTACCACCAAGCCAGTTACACCACCAGTTGCACCACCTGTTGCACCACCAGTTGCGCCACCAGTTGCCCTAACGAGTCACACCATCAGCTAGGCTGCCACTTTCCCAACCAGTAACAGTGCTGGCGCAGGAAGGTCTGCTTGGAAAGATCACAGGCCCCATGGGAATTCTTTGTCTTCCAAGTTTCCTTTTCACACTCACACCCGTTCTTTCCCTCCTGAAGCGCCCTAAAAAAACTTCACCTGAGGCCCCTCAGAAGCCTTTTTCTGAGGCGCTCCAGAAGCCCCTATGCTCTCATTCTCACAGCTTCCTCCCCCGCCGGCCCTGGCCAGGTTTTCAAAGCTTCAGTCCATCCGAAAGTATTGTTTTAGCAGTTAGCCGCCCCCCCCCCCCCCCCCACTCCTCTCCCCATTCGGGCTGGCCCTACTCGAACCACTAACACTCCTCTCCCCTGTTACCCCACTCCCTTTCCAAGTCTGGCCCTGCGCGGGCCCTCAACTTCCCAGTCATCCCGGTGGCAGTGCTGGCGCGAGCAGCACTGTCCCTCATGACCACAGGCACCACAGTAACCAGGTTCTGTCCTCCCTCCTTTCCTCCCCACCCCAGTCTGGCCCTGCGCGGGCGCTCAATTTCCCAGTCATCCCCGTGGCAGTGCTGGCACGAGCAGCCCTGCCCCTCATGACCCAGCCGCCCTTCACGCTGGCGTGGGTGGCGCAGCAGCTGTCAGCCCGTGATGCCATGGACCCTCAGCTCTTCCAAAAGCTCATGCAGCACAACTTCTGTGAGTGCGAGATGAAGTGGCTTGTCTTGGGATGGCATGGAGTAGCATGGGTTGTGGGCCGACATAGTGTGGGGTGGCGCTCCAGGTGTCAGCCCGCGATGCCATGGACCCTCAGCTCTTCCAAAAGCTCATGCAGCACAACTTCTGTGAGTGCGAGATGAAGTGGCTTGTCTTGGGATGGCATGGAGTAGCATGGGTTGTGGGCCGACATAGTGTGGGGTGGCGCTCCAGGTGTCAGCCCGCGATGCCATGGACCCTCAGCTCTTCCAAAAGCTCATGCAGCACAACTTCTGTGAGTGCGAGGTGAAGTGGCTTGTCTTGGGATGGCATGGAGTAGCATGGGTTGTGGGCCGACATAGTGTGGGGTGGCGCTCCAGGTGTCAGCCCGCGATGCCATGGACCCTCAGCTCTTAGCTCATGCATCACAATCTCTGTGAGTGTTGTGGTGAGATGGGCTAGTATGGGACCGTGTGGGATTAGTGTGCGGTAGTATGGGGCATGGGGTAGTATGGGGTAGCACAGTTTAGCATAGGGTAGCACGGGTTGGGGCAACACGGTGGGTGGCGCACCAGGTCTCACCCCGCGATGCCATGGACCCCCAGCTCTTCCACAAGCTCATGCTCCACAACTTCTGTGAGTGCGGGATGAGGTGACATGGGGTAGTATGTGGTAGTATAGGGCAGTATGGGTTGGGGCAACACAGTGGGTGGCGTCACTCTCGTTCACTGTCTCTGTTCCCTATGGCCTCCAGGCACCATCCATGTAAAGCTCCTCCTGCAGGTAGTGTCATCTTTACTCCAGGCAGGTCAACTCGCTCTTTTCCAATGTCTCCACTTCCATCTGCCCACAGGCACCATCCCCGTGAAGCTCCTCTTGCAAATGGAGTCCATTTTCACGCCTGGTGGGCTGCGCAGTCGCAGCGGGTCCATTTCGTACCTCAAGGGGCTGCGGGACTGCCACACGCCCGTGCTCGCCCTCGCTGGTGATGCTGACGGTGTCTGCCCGCCGCTGCTTGTCACAGGTCAGTGCTACCCGCAACGTACGAGTGTTAGTCCATTGCATGCGTCAAGGGGCTGAGGGACTGCCACACCCCCGTGCTCGCCCTTGCTGGTGATGCCGATAGAGTCTGCCCGCCCCTCCTTGTCACAGGTCAGTTCAACTACAGCTCTGCTCGTCAGAGGTCAGTGCTCCTATGTGCAACATGTAACTGTTGGTCCATCTCGTACCTCAAGGGACTCAGGGACTGCCGCACGCCCGTGCTCGCCCTCGCTGGTGACGCTGACGGTGTCTGCCCGCCCCTGCTCGTCACAGGTTGTTCATTGTGGTTTTTGTGGTCACAGGTGGTGCATCTCTGCTCGTCCGAGGTCAGTTGCTGTGGTTCTCGGGGTTACATGTTAGTCCATAACTCATGTTCTTACCCCTTCTTCAGCCTGAAAAGTTATCACATACGTGTTGTCAATCTGACTGTCTCTCAAAGTTTTCTCCTTTGGAGTCGCCTCAAATGTTGTCCACGTATGTCCCTCGTAAAGCCGAATCCGACTCTCCTCTACCTCCTCTCTGACCCCTCTCTGATGAACGCGGTGTGTGTGTGGCCTGCAGAAACCCTCAAGGCCATTCCATCTTCCAGCGTTGAATACCGGCTGTTTGGAGGGTCAGACAACCGCCGCTACGGACACTACGACATGCTCGTGGGCAAACATGTGAGTATTCGCGCTATGCGAATGGTTGTGACATTTGAGTGTGTATGATGTGTGAGTGGTTATGACATGTGAGTATTCATGCTATGTGATTGGTCATGACACGTGAGCATTCGTGCTGAGTGGTTATGACATGAGTATCCGTGCTATGTGAGTGGTTGTGACATTTGAGCAATCGTGCCATGTGAGGAGGGATGCCATGCCATGTATGCAGGCATGCCATGTGAACATGTGGTGCAGCCATGCCATGTGTCTATCATGGCATGTGAGCAGCAAGTGAGCAACATTGCCGAACCATGTGACTACAGAGTTTTACCATTCACACTAATGGCATATCACTGCTGTCCTGTGTGGTATGTTTTTCCACATTCCAGGCACCCGAGGAAGTGTACCCTGTCATTACAGATTTTCTGTCGAAGACCGATGGCGCTAATGCGGAGCCGATCAGGGCTGCAGACGAGTTTCCTTCCACCATGTCTCCCTTGACAGTCCAACAAGATGCTGGCATGCATGCAATCTAATCACTGTAACTAGTTGGCCTCAAAATTGCAGATTCATAGGGTAAATCAGGCGTAGTTTGTTTACCTCCATGCCTCAGTGTTCAAAGCGGTAGAACAAACCTCTCCAGGATGCACAGCACCCTTTTCAACAGCAGTGAAAGAAGTCTGACCCCTTTTCAACGGCAGTGAAAGAAGTCTGACCCCTTTTCAACGGCAGTGAAAGAAGTCTGAACCCCCTAAAGGTCAGGTGATCGTCTTGGATTTGCAAGAATTTCACTGCCTGGTATGTGTTACAGTCAAAATGGGCCACACAAAGTGATGCACGAAGTCAAATTGCATCCACTTCGATCTGTTTCATGAAAGCATTGATTCAAATTACCGTAGACAATTCAGATAATACCATAATAAATTCATAAGGTTTTCGTTACAGAAGCAATCCCCCCATTTGCAAGAGGTAATCCCTGAAATTACGCCTAAGAGTACGTGATGCCGATACCACAATGGATAAGAGATGCGAAGCAAGTGACACACCGCGCAACTGCAGTGAAACCTGCAGATACAAACGCATAACACAACAGCTGATTAAGAACAGCCACGGAACCCGTTGAGACGAACGGCAATATCCGTGAGTGATCATACGACAAAATGTGGGGAGGGGGACAAAGGCACAACCACTTGATCATCTGCGTGCCTGGGTATAGTTCCGCCCCGTTTGACCGTGCTCTAGGCGACCTTGAGCGCTGCATGTGCCACGGTGAATCAGGCACACCAGTGACTCTAATTGAGTCGCCATGCGGAAACATTCAACTAAGTCCGATTGACCACGCCCACTACTTCCAGGGAGTAATATAAATTGCGAAACAAAAACAAAGGAGCGTGTGAGACGCGCGGTAGCGTACCTTATGTAGTTCGGAAGCCAGTCGTTCGATAAGTGCATTCGGATCGGCCTGTTTATAATTTCGCGCTTCACCATGATCCTTGAGCCGGAACCGCGGAGCCAAGCCGGATCTGAAAGGGTACGTCGGATGGTGGCAAATCGTATCAAGGGATCAAAACGAACATTAGTTAAGAATGGATTAAGTGCAATTAAACGAGCAGGAACAGAGCAACGAGAGGAATGTAAGAAGCTGATTGTCGAGGGGTGACTAAGCCACCTCATGAAGGAAATACAGAGGTGGCATAAGATAGTGATGCCCTTTCGCCGACCTGGCCATTCTTTTAGGAGGCTTCGAGCGCTGAATGTGTCACGTAGTGGACGCACCAGTGACTCTATAGAAGCCGCCAAGTTGCATGTATAAATGGAAGTCATTGCAGTAAAGACCACTTTAGGCGCGATACAATGTGAATAACGAAATCCGTGCGAAGAGAATGGGCGTAGGGATCGTCGTACCCACCATTAATGCGGTCGGACTTTCAGCGCATTTGTAGCCGCGCGTCGAGCCTCTCGGGGCTAAGTTGACGGTGTCATGATCTCAAATGCACTCGGCCATTCAGCTTCCAGAAGGTCGCCGACTCCGCATCAGTCGCATTCGTTGGGAAGCCTCAGCCCCCACTTTCATGGCTACGGCATAGTGCAAGCTTCGTCTAACTTCCCAGCTACGTGGGAAAAATACAGGAAAGGATGGTAGAGAAACAGGATGTGGAACAGGAAATGGTGGCAAAATGGAGATGGCGGGTTTTTGGTCCCAGCACCAAGGTGGGAGCTGCTGTGGCGAAAAGTGATGGCGACGGGATACAGTTCGCCTGGTGGCTTACCCCAACCTCGCATCACAGATAGTTGGGTGTGTATAAAAGCAGATTCTATAAAAGTATTGAAACGAGTCGATTCGTTTTCTGTACAAGCATCACACATCCAATCCATGCAGACTTGTGGCGCATATTTACCTGCAAGCACCAGTGGCTGCAGCATCTGAAATAGAGCTTCTGACTAAGAGAAATTCAGTTGTATCTGATACCAGGCCAAATTTCCATATCCTTCTTTTTGATTCGGATCATCAACTTATATTTTTGTGCAATCGAAATATGAGTCTCAATTGGGTTTCCTGTTATCAAAGATTGATACAGATGCTTTACGACGTACAACACATAATACGGTGGGGTAGGGTTCCACCAACTCCATCCCACATGTCTCTGCCATCCTCCACTGCTTTCCCACCAGGCTCGAAATCCTTCCGTCAAGCTCGCTCCCGTCTGTCCTTTTTTCAAGCCCGCTCCCGGTCCATCCTCCGGCCTCTAGCACCTGCTGCATCACAAGAGGACCAGCAATATCGTGCATCATAGTTTTTCGGGTTAGAAAGGTGAGGTGAGGCTAGGATTCTCATGTCCTTGCATGTGAGTTTGCGTCAACCAAAGCTGGCTATTTTGTATGAGGTAACCCCTCTAATCAAAACTGCCCATTAACTCTCCAGTTATGTTCCGTTATCGACGTTTCGAACTCCAATTCTGCTGTTTTGTTTTTCGTGTGTTCCCCTCCGAATTTCTTGTTGCGGGACGTTTTTGCGGAAACAGTGTCTATCAATGTTAATTTTAGTAGCGAAGAGTCAGGCAGTGCTTCAACAACGGTTCGCAACATGCCTCAGAAAGTGCAATTCGCTTTTTCTAGGGGGAAATGACAGGAGTGTCTGGAACAGAAAATCGAGCGTACTCAATCGTGATGTGCTCTGCTCCTGACATCCTTATCTCCATCACCATTCGTCCTGAATTCTTGTTATCATTGATCACGTCTTCAATTCAGGCACTCTTGCAGCCGCGCTGTCTCTGCCAGGGTGACAAGCCTTCCTCCACTTGACCGTTCGCCAATCCTTCACCGATTCAATCTGGTTGCTGAATCCACTCACAAAACTTTCACTCTGGGTAATTCCCATGGAGGGCGAAGGCAACGCCAGCTCTGGAAGACCAGGAGCGGGGGCGCCACGGCCAGTAGAACCCGCAGGTAGCACCCTCATTTCGCAATGTTCGTTCGCCCCACACCACTCCTTCTAGATTCCTTTCAAACCTGCACATGAGAATCCCTTTTGCCCCTCCCCCTCTCCCTCTCCCCCTCCTCCCGAACCCCCTTTCCCCTTCCGCTTTTCCCCTGTGTTTCCTTCCTCCCCTCCGGCCCAGCAGCTCCACTAGCAACGCCTGCTATGGCACCTCAAACCCCAGCAGCACAGCCACCAACCTCCACAGATGCCGCTCCCACCACACCTGACAGCACTCCCAGGCCTCCAATAAAGCCCTATGAGTCTGCTGCTGCCGCATCAGGTAGCAGCGCTGCCAGCGCTTCCGAGCCTTTCGTCCCGAAGCAGCCGGTTCGGGAGGACATGGTTCGGCAGGCCGTGAGCTTCCTCTCCAACCCTAAGGTCCGGAGCTCCCCGGTGCGGTTTCGCCGAGCCTTTCTGGAGCGCAAGGGCATGTCAGCTGAGGAGATTGACGAGGCTTTTCGCCGCTGCCCGGTAAGATACTTGGTTCTGTTCTTCTTGGGAGGGAGAGGGGGGGGGAGGTGGGGAGCGCAAGGGCATGTCAGCTGAGGAGATTGACGAGGCCTTCAGACGCTGCCCGGTGAGTTACTTACTCTCCTTTTGAGGCGCCCGTTTGAGGCGCCCTTTTGAAACGCGCTTTTGAGGCGTCCCAAAGGCCTTTCTGGAGTGCAAGGGCATGTCGGCAGAGGAGTTGACGAGGCCTTCCGGCGCTGCCCAGTGAGTTATCCTCGTTTTGGGGGTACTGAGAAGGGGGAGAGAGAATGATGGAAGGGGGGAACGGGGGAAGGAGGAGGAAAGGGGGGCAGGGCAGGGGGGGAAGAGGGGTGGGCAGGGCAGTGGGGAAGAATTAGCGGTTGCTAAGGATTTCTCCCCGGTGAGGCTCCGCCGAGCCTTTCTGGAGCGCAAGGGCATGACGGCATAGCAGATTGACGAGGCCTGCCAACGCTGCCCTGTGAGTCATCCTGATTTTGGGGGAGGGAAGTGGAAGAGGGGGGGGGGGGTCGGGAGAGAGAGGGGTCGACAGGGTTAAGGGTATGTTGGCAGAGAGGAGATTGACGAGGCCTTTTGACTCTGCCCTGTGTGTCACTTCATATCGTTCTTCATGAGACGGAGAGGAGGGAGGAGGGATGAGGAGGCGAGGATGGAGATGGCAGGGAACAGGACAGTGGGAAGAAAGAAAACCTGATCTGAAATTCTGTCCGTTGCCTTCCTCCTGCCCCCACACCAGGACCCATCAACAGGGTCAGAGGACGTGGAGGTGGGCTCGTCTTCCCAGCCCCTCCCTGCTGCTCGCAAGGCCCCTGCTGCCACTGCTGCCACTGCCACTGCTGCAGAGCCAGCTGCTGCTGCCGCTGCCGCTCCTCCTCCTGCTGCTGCGGTTGCTCCTGGTCCGCAGCAGCAGGCACAGGCACAGCAGGCGTTTTCATGGACCAAGCTGGCAGTGGCTCTGGCTGTTGTGGGGGCAGGCACTGCCGGCACTGCTGCTGTTGCAAAGGTGAATAGTCTGAACAGATTGATTCCCTATCCGAGCTCCCATGCGCTCTCTTTTCTGTCCATTGTGTTGGACCCCGCTCTCCCCCCCCCCCCCTCCCTCCTGCTCTCTCCATTTCTCTTTGCATTCCCTTGTGTTATATTCTCCGCAACTCCCTCTCTCGTTCCACATTCCCCCTTTTCTCTCCTCCCCCCCGTTGTCCTAGTCCCTCACCTCACCTCACCCACCATTTGTGTGTCTCATCATGCTTCTGTCTCCGGTGCCATGGACACCGCCATCATCATCATTGCTATCTCCCTGCCGCCCTGCCATGCCATGCAGCGTCTCGTCCCCTCACGCCTTGAGGCCTGTTTTGAGACGCCTCGAAATTCCACCCCCCTGCTTCCTTCCGTTTCACCGGCTTGTTCCTCTGCTCCCCTTGCCACCACCACCGCCATCATCATCATTGCTATCTCCCTGCTCCCCTGCCTACTATGCAGCATCTCATCCTCCCACGCCTCCAGGCCTGTTTTCAGTTGAGACGTCTGGAAACTTTTTTTTTTTTTTTTATCCATTCCATTGGTATCTCCCTCTTCGTCTGCTGAGCAGCGACTCGTGCTCCCACGCCTCAAGACCTGGCTTCAGGAAACTGCAGCACAGGAATCGTCCAAGAAAGGTACACTTGCTACACTTGGCGTTGCACCAGCCAGCACGTGGCAGGGCTTCACATGGCCGCTTCTTGCTATGCTTTGCTCTGTTGTTTTCGTGGGTTCTGGTTTTGAGGCGCCTCAAAACTCTTGCTACACTTTGCTCTTTGTTGCTCTTTGTTCTTTGCTCTTTGTTGCCGTGTGTGCTTGTGGCCACCGCCTATCACTTCACTCTTTTTTTCTACCTTTTCGTTTTGTCCTGGCACACTTGGTAATCCAATTCCACGTTTCCATTCGTGCGTGTGCGTGTGTGGGTATTTTCCGTGCGTGGCCTGTCTGCATGTGTTTCCGTCCTATGTGCAAGTAGGCAAGCGCCGAGGCAAGCAGGCAGCAAAGAAGAGCAGCAAGGGGAAGAAAGCAAGCAGGCGACGAGGGCAGGGTACTGACCCAGACAAGCTGGAGGAGGAACGGGAGAAGGAGGGGGCGGAAGAGGAGGAGGGGAGTGGTGACAGCAGCAGTAGCTCTGGCAGCAGGAGTGAGTCAGAGAGTGAGTCCGAGACAGGGGATTCAGAGAGTGAGGAGGAGAGGGGGAAGGGGAGGAGGGGAAAGGGAAGGCGCGGTGGAGGGAGGAAAGGGAAGGGGAAGGAGAGAGAGGGGGGAGGGAGGAGGCGAGGCAGGAGGGAGGGAGGCAGCAGGGATGAGTCACAGGCGGCACTGTTGCGAGCCCTAGAAGCCATGACTGCAGAGGTGCAGCAGCTCAAGGCCGCCAATGCTGCTGGCTCTGCTGGTGCTTCCGGTGCCGGTGCTGTGGGAGCAGCAGCGGCTGGCATTGCTGCTGCGGGCTCAGACATGCGCTCTGGTGAGTCCATCTGGCACCCGCTCACACAAGTGGAGACGGGGGTTTTTTCCAGAAGAAGCTCATAATGTACCGCTTGCAATACCCCTCCCTCCCTCCCTGTCCCGCTGGGCCCCCTCATGCCCCGTCTCTTCCATTTCCTTCCCCCCCTCCCCCACCTCTCCTCCTCTCAGTCTATGTTTCTCCCGCTGTTGTTCTCACTCTCCAGATCATGTTTCTCTCTCATCAATCCGTCTTTCCATCTTCCCTATACCCACCCGCTTCCCTTCACCCATTCACAGCCCTGGCATCTCGCCGGCCCACCCAGCAGCAGCAGCGCAGCGACGCACCCTACTCCCAGCCCTACTCGGCTCAATCCTACTCCCCCCAGCCATATTCCGCCCAGCCGTGGCGCCCGTCTAGTGCCCCCGCGCCCTCTTCATCCTCTGCTGCTCTGGGCGCCGGTGGCAGTAGCACTGCGACTCCTGGCGCGCCTGGTGTCGGATCTGCTAGTGCAGCCGCATCCGACGGCCCTCCCCATCCCAAGTCCTTTTACGAGGTGAGGATCGCTCTCCCTCAACCAGGGTGCCTCGGTATACCCTATAGGGCCTATACTAGGAATCTCCTCCGTCACGACCTTACTGCCGTTTCTCCTAGCCTCGTCAGGTTGTTTTTCTTTGTCTGATCGGAGCACTCTCTGCAACCCTCCATTCCCTCGTTCACCCTTATGTGTCATCCTCTGTATGCTGGTACTGATGATCCATGTGCTACTGGGGGCGGGGGGGGGAGTTAAATGAGCAGGTGATGGAGATGGTGAAGCGGGGAGAGACGCCTCCGGGAATCAAGGTACCTTGTCTAGTACCTTCTTTCTTCTCTCAACTCGTTTTCAGAGCATTTGCGCCACGCGTTGCTGCTCAGGCCATTTCTATCACCTTTTTCCCTGTTGCTGTATGCTGTGATCTGTTCATCTTTCGACAAGGGTATGAGCACGACTGTATTGGCATGTTTGCCCTAACCTCTCACTCACGCCACATATCTGTCTCACTTACTCACTCACCCATTCTGCCCATGCCTGCAGTGCCCTAATGCCTCAGCAGTACTTCATTCAGCCACTTAAAGCCACTGCCCGTACATCCCCATCCCCATCCCCATCCCCATCCCAATCCTCATGCTCATCCCCATCCTTTTTCCTGTCCCTCGGTGCATCAACCACATGCCCCACATGCCCCACATGCCCCACATACAAACCGTGTGAGATGAGACGATTTTTGAGTCGACTAAAAAGTCATCCCCATCCTTATTCCCATCCCTCAGGACATCAACGACAAGGCCCCCAATCCCTAGCATCGATGTGTATTTTGCAGTGCCTCAGAATACACATCAGCAACTGCCTGCCATTGTGCCCCTTCCCCCGCCCCGCCCGCATCCCCATCCCCATCCCGCATCCCCATCCTTATCCCCATCCCGCAGGACATCAACGACAAGCCCCACATACAAACCGCGTGATATGAGACGTTTTTTTAGTCGACTACTGGATCATCCCCATCCCCATCCGTATTCCCATCCCCCAGGACATCAACGACAAGCCCCCCAATCCCGAGCAGCCCCCTACAGACTCCCGCCTAGCACGCCCCCTCAAGGTATGCTGCCTGGCTGCCTGCCCGGACACGCCTCCTAACCTTATCCTTATTCCCCCACGCCCCAGGGGAATCCAGCCAGCCCCTTGCCCTCTCTCAGTCCCTTGCCCTCTCTCAGTCCCTTGCCTCTTTTGCATGCCATGCCACGTGATAAAAGTGATGTTTTCAGATGTCTCAAAACATCACTTTTATCACTTGCCCTCTCTCAGTTCCTTTCCTCTTTTGCGTGCCACGCCACGCCTCCTCCTGCCCCATCATACCCTCCCCGCGGTTTACCCTTGTTGATGCCGCTCAACTTAGCCCACTCCCACCTTCCCGTTTCCCATTCTTTTCTCCCATCCGGCCCCCTTCTCCCCCTGTTTTCCCTTGTTCCCCCGGTCTCCTTCGCCTTTCATCCCCTGAAGTAGCCCTGGGAGTCTGGAGCAGCACAGCAGGGACCTGGCAGCACCGCACCAACAGCAGCAGTACCAGCAAGAGGAGCAGCAGGAGCGGCAGCAGGAGCGGCAGCAGGAGCAGCAGCAGGAGCAGGAGGAGGGGGGTTCCCAGTGGGGGGTCAAGCAAGCAGGCCACTGTCTGCTGGCATGAGCTCTGCTAACCCGCCCTACCCACCCAACCAGCCATACCCGTACGGACCGAACCAGCCTTACACAGCCAGCCAGCCGTACCAAACCAGTGCCCCGTACACGACTAACCACCCGTACCAAGCCAAGCAGCCTTACCAAACCAACCAGCCTTACCAGCAGCAGCAGCAGCAGCAACAGCAGCCATACCAGCAGCAGCAGCAGCAGCAGTTTGGGCAACCGTCTGCTTACAACCAGGGCGCCATGGGCTCAGCGTATGGTGCTACTAACGGGGGTGATTATAACGGAGGGATGGGCTATGCTGGTGTGAGTGGTGGTGCCGGTAACGGCTCTGTGGATGATGCTCCCTGGTCCCGCCGCCCGCCTGCCACGTCATCATCAGCTGCTGCTGCTGACTCAGCAGCCGCAGCCGCTGCTTCTGGAATGTTCTCCGATTCTCCCAGTGGAGAAGCATCAGGGGGTGCAGCGGTGGAGACAGCAGGGGGGCCACCAGGAGTCTCAGGTGTCCCATCAGGTGGACCATCAGGGGGCGCATCAGGTGGAGGGGGGTGGAGGCCGCCAGCCCTGCTGAAGCCAGTGCTGCCAGAAGCAGCCACAGCCATCCGCCAGTGGCCCGCTGCCAGAGCCCCTAACTACTGGGGCGGCCCCGCTGCTGACGCCCCTGCCGCTGCTGACCCGGCTGCTGGTCCTCCGGGTAACCCTGCTGCGGCGGCAGCGGCGGCGGCGGGGACCCTACCTGATGTTACCGCTGGTGTGGCAGATGCTGCTGGTGGTCTTGCAGGGTCTGGTGCATCGGTACCAACGTCTGCTGCTCCTGATGTTGCTCCTGCTGCTGTTCCTCTCCCTCTGCCGCCTGCTCTCGGTGTGCCTTCGGCTGCCCCAGCAGCACCTGCTGCTGCACCGACTGTCATTGATGTTCCTGCAGCATCAGCATCAGTGATTGATGTTCCCTCTGGGCCTGCTCAGGTGCTGGGAGGGCTGCAATCCAACAATGGCAACGGTGAGGTGGCAGAGATGGGGAGTGCCGGAGCAGCATCAGAGGGAGTGAGTGCAGCACCAGAGGTGTAGCACTAAAACTGCTGTAGCAGCACCGGCTGTAGCAGCATCTGGTAGCGGCATGCATGACGGGTCAACGACAGCAGGGGTGGACCACTTGTGCTGCACAAGACAGATTCATTGCCTCATAAAAGAGAAGGTTCTGGTCATGCGAGGTCGCACTTTCTTTCCTTATTCGTTTTTTGGACATAATCTGTTGTAAATAGAATAACGACATCGGAACCAAATTCGTTGTGATGCTTGGGAGGGTGTTGGCCAATGCCGTATTGGGGATTGGTTGGGGAGTGCTGTAGTAAGGGGAAGAGGAGATCTAAGGGTTTAGCAGTTCTGACATGCGGTGCTCTTTTGCTAGCTAGCAAAAACCTGTTCTCTTTGAAACGATGCCTTTTTATCGGAGTATTGCTTCTGGTGCTTTTGAGATTGTTTACAGCGAGAGGGCACCATCCTCCCGAGCGCTACACAATGGCTCGCGAATCGTAGACGTCACACTGCCGTCGCATGCGACGAATTCAGTCGCACGCGTCACTCGCCTCGCACTTGCGACTGACGACAAAGTTAGCAACTGTTGACCCACAATGTCATTCGCCCACGCGTTTCCCCGTTATGACCATAAAAATATTTTCCGTCACCGTCGGATCTTCGTCAGCTTGCTGCCTTCCCCCTCCGCTTCCGCTCCCGCTCTCCCCGCCTCGCCAGCTCCGCCTTCTCCTCTGACCCGCCCTTGCTCCGGTCTCCACGTGCATTCCCTTTCCCGCGCGCGTTCCTCCGAAAGCGCCCCGCCGCCGCCCTCCCCGCCACATCGAAGCCCTTACGCGACTCACCCGCATTACGCGCAACACGTGCCGTTCCCCTTGCCCTTCCGTGCTGCATGCCGCGCGCTTTACGATTTCCGGTGGGTAACCGTGCGCTCAGCAGTTGCGGGGGATGCGGGGAATGCAGGGGATGCAAGGGGAACGAGCGGGGGGCAGCACCGCGAAACGAGCGCGCGCGTGGATTCCTGCGGGTCAGCGGAAGGCGGGGTCGCGAGTTCGGACGCGCGGGGGAGAGCGGAAGCGGAGAATGGGGTTGGGGCGCCAGCGGGCGCGGGGTTGCAATCTCCTGCTGCTGTTGAAATGTCCGCGGATTGCCAAGCCGGGGAAAGGGGGAAGGGGGACTGGGCGGAGGCGAGCGGGGGAGCGGGGGGGCTGGAAGAGCGGAGAGGAGGGGGGACGAACCCTGGGGAGCCCATTGCAGGTCCTTCTCTGGTGGCGGATTTTGAAGCGTGTGAGAGGGAGCAGGCAGCGTGTGTGGTGGTGGGCGCGGGGGTGGTGGGGCGGGAAGGGGAGAAAGTCGAGCCCCTTACCCGTTCTGCAATGCCCGTGGATTTCGAGGCGCAGGAGAGGGAGCAGGCGGAGTGTGTGGTGGTGGGCGCGGGGGTGGTGGGGCTGGAAAAGGAAAGAGGCGGGGGAGCGGAGACTGGCAGTTTCAGGCCAGGTATGGTAGCAGATTTCGCAGCGTGTGAGAGGGAGTAGGCGGAGTGTGTGGTGGTGGGCGCGGGCGTGGTGGGGCTGGCGGTGGCGCGCGCGCTGGCAGGGGCGGGGCGGGAGGTGGTGGTGGTGGAGGCGGGGGGAGGGGTGGGGGGCGGTATCAGCTCGCGCAACAGCGAAGTGATTCACGCAGGGCTGTACTACCCTCATGGCTCGCTCAAGGTGCGCCTCTCGTATTAGCGTGCACGACGAATAGACTCATAGTCCACACACATACGGCGGGGTGAGGTGTGCGGGGCGGCATCAGCTCGCGCAACAGCGAAGCGATTCACGCAGGGCTGTACTACCCTCATGGGTCGCTCAAGGTATGTGGAAGGATGCAGGTACAAGCACTGTCATGCAAGGTGTGCCCCTCTTTACTCTCGCTCATGGTGTTTGCTACTCGATCAACGTATAGGCCTCTTTACTCCTCGCACGCGTATGCCTTCCTCCCCCTTCCTCTCACTTCCCCACACCCCCTTAACCCATACCCTCCTCACACACCCCCACACCTGGTGCCCCTTTCCTCCCTCCAACTCAGCACCCCCTGCACACGTGGATCATGCTTCCACCACCCTTTCCATCCTCTGCTGACGTGGCAGGCGCGGCTGTGTGTGGAGGGGCGGCGGCAGCTGTACGCGTTCTGTGAGGACAGGGGAGTGCTGCACCGCAGGGTCGGCAAGCTGGTGGTTGCCACGTCAGCAGACCAAGTGCCGCAACTGGAGCAGCTTAAGGCGAGTACAGCTGCTCTGCAGTGCTGTCATGTCCCCGTGCTGTCATGCTGCACTGTTCACCCTCTCTTTCCTGTTCTCAACCCTTCAATGCCCCTTACCCATACTTTGCTTTTTATATGATCCCACCTCTTTCTCTGATGCTCCTTGCTCACCTTCATGTGGCCGTGCCACCAGACCCACGCGCAGGGCAACGGGGTGGAGGGGCTGCGGATAGTGGGCCAGGAGGAGACTTGTTAATCTCAACTCAGTACGGGGTGCATCCTTTCAGTTGAAAGGTCCCATTGCATACCATCGCTTGCCTCTCTATCGCCATGCCACCAGACCCACGCGCAGGGCAACGGGGTGGAGGGGCTTCAACTGTTGGGTCGGGAGGAGGCAAGGCGGATGGAGCCCTGGGTGGAGTGCCATGCTGCGCTGCTGTCGCCACACACAGGCATCGTGGACTCACATGCTCTCATGCTCGCCCTCCAGGTGATGAGACGACTTGTGACGCACATAAGAGAGTGATTCTGACTCACTCCACAAGTCATGAGGCGCCTAAAAAAATTACAGGGTGATGCTGTCTCGTCTCACGCCACAGGTGACTTGTGGCTTGTGGCTTGTGACAGCACCTGTGGCTTGTGACAGCACCTGTGGCTTGTGACAGCACCTGTGGCTTGTGACAGCACCTGTGGCTTGTCGTGCTGTCTCACGCCACAGGTGACGAACCGACAGTTGAGGGACCCAAAGCAGCTGCCAAACTAGGAAACATCTCAAACCCCTCATGCATTGTCCTCCCCACCTGTCTTGCATCCCTCACTTGTCTTTCCCAGCTCGCCTGTGCTGCCTCACTTGTCTTACTTATTCCTCTCTCCCTCTCGCCTTCCTCTCTTCCTCTCGGCCTCTCCATTCTTACCTTCTCTGCGGCACGGCACCAACGGGGCGGGCAGAGGCAGAAGCAGCGGGTGCCGTTTCTGCCCTCAACGACTCAGAAGTTCTCCCCTCCGTCTCTCCACTTTTTTCTCTGATGCAATTTTTGCGCCACCAACAGAGCAGGCAGAGGCAGAAGCAGCAGGAGCCGTTTTTGCCTTCAACACAGCAGCAGTTGGCATTCAGGCCAACCCAGCCGACCGCTTCCCACTCCTCACCACCATCCGAACCTCCTCCCCTACCACCAGCAGCACCACCACCACAACCAGCACCAGCAGCACCACCAGCACCGCAAGCATGTTGCTCTCCTCGCGCTACCTAGTGAACGCAGCTGGGCTGGAAGCCGTTCCCCTCGCACACCGCACCCGTCTCAAAAGAGAGGCCCACGTTGAACCCCAACTGCCTCCCCTGAACCCATCTAAGACGGCTTGCAGCCCCCCCAATGGCACTGCATCACTACCTGCCCACCACCTCCCTCCCCTCTACCTCGCTCGCGGGCATTACTTTGCCCATGCGGGAGCACCGCCCTTCTCCCGCCTTGTGTATCCGCTGCCGGAGCCGGGGGGGCTGGGCGTGCATGCCACCGTGGACCTGGCCGGTCGAGTGCGGTTCGGTCCCGATGTGCAGTGGTTGCATGCAGTGCCGCTCTCTGCCCCTCACGGCATGCCCATCAGGTACAGACAGCTGTAGCACAAGGCACTCAAATCTTGAGTCGACTTGTATTGTAAACAGCAAGTAATGAGCTGATTATGAGTCGGTTCGGACTTTTGAGAGGGGTGCCTGGGCGTGCATGCCACGGTGGACCTCGCCGGTCGAGTGCGGTTCGGCCCCGACGTGCAGTGGTTGCACTCGGTGCCGCTCTCTGCTCCTCACGGCATGCCCATCAGGTGTGGTTCTAGTTCTAGGCTCCTGATCCTGATGTAGTAGCTGAAGCAGGTTCAACATTCCTTCCCACTTCTCACCACTCTTCCCCTCTCCACCCAACTCCTTCCCACTCCCCTCAACTCCTCCCCACTCCTCCCCATGCCAGCTACGACTACTCAGTGGACCCTGCAAGGGCTGAATCATTCTACTCGGCGATCCGCAAGTACTTCCCCTCACTGCAGGCCGGCTCTCTGCATTCCTCCTCACCACTCACCACTCCCCCCAACCCCCCTCAACTCCTTCCCATGCCAGCTACAACTATTCAGTGGACCCTGCAAGGGCCGAATCATTCTACTCGGCGATCCGCAAGTACTGCCCATCACTGCAGGCCGGCTCTCTGCATGCCGACTATGCCGGCATCCGACCCAAACTCACCGCCCCGGGGGAACCTGCAGCCGATTTCCTCATTCAGGTGAGATGGGCGGTAAGAGAGGGTGGTAAGAAAGATGGGCATCATTGGAGCCCGCTCTCTGCATGCCGACTATGCGGGCATTCGCCCCAAACTCACCGCCCCGGGGGAACCCGCTGGTGACTTCTTGATTCAGGTGAGATGGGTGGTGAGGTGGATGGCGTGCCTTGTGCCTAGAGGCACCGTGCCCTCCCATTGCGAGTGTGCCAACAGAACAGACCCATGCCAAGCCTCATCCTCCTCCTCAATTGTTCTTTCCCAACACCATCAATTATCTTACTCTCCTTGTCCATGTCATTCGCCTTGTACCCATGTCAATTATGCCAACAGACTCAAGCTACACATGGCAAGTCAGGCCTCATCCACCTTCTCGGCGTAGAGTCTCCAGGACTTACTTCGTGTATTGCTATTGCCGAGTATGTGAAGGGACTCCTGTAACATCTCTGCCGCATGTCGCTGTCAACCACAGTTTATCATTGCGCTACTCAGGGGTTGTGATGTATGGTCATGTGTTTGGTGGATTTTTCTTTCTTCCATTCGTTTTCAAGTGACATTTGTACAACCACCCGTATAAACATGGGTTCAGAAGGGCATGTCGGTTTCTGTATTCCAACTGGTACCTTGCGTGTTGCAGAACCATCACTAATTCCTTGAGAGATTTTCACCAAAAACCACAGAATAATCATGCACAGCTCCGGTTCCACTAACACCAAACGGGTAAAAATTTGGTATAATAGTCTTCCAATGAAACATAAATTGACATCGACTATTTCAAATTGCATTTGGCCAGAAACGAACTTTAGTTGGATGAAAGGTGTGGATCATCTGGATGGGGAACAGCGCAATGGCGATGGTAAATTCATGCAGGGTATATACATGGATGGTGTGCACGAAAGTACCAAATTCAGGCATATACATCAGAATACATATAAACTGACGTGTATAATTCATATACCATGGTCCAACACATGGTACACAGTACACACAACAGACAGTTTAGGTACACACGGAACAGACAAACGCATGGCAACACACACCAGACAAACGCACAGAACACACAACAGACAGTTTAGGTACACACGGAACAGACAAACGCATGGCAACACACACCAGACAAACGCACAGAACACACAACAGACAGTTTAGGTACACACGGAACAGACAAACGCATGGCAACACACACCAGACAGCACTGTACACACAACAGACAGATAGTAGGGTACACACAGAACAGACAAACGCATGGTAACACACAACAGACTGATGCACAGTACACGAATGTACACCAATGACAACAAGATGCTGTACGTACTCCATCCATACTCATAAACGAGGATGCTTATGCAGGAAAACTACGAAGATGATGCCCGAAATCAGGGTGCAGCGGTGATAGGATGGAAAGGATGCGACAACAGAGCACCTTGAGAGGCGGGTGGAGAAGTGAAACCGACCAATATGGGAATGGGGAGCAGGGGGAGAGATGGTGGGGAGAAGGAATGGTAGAGGGATGAGGCAAAGAAGGGCGAAAGGCGGGGAGGAAAGGGGGATGGAAGAAAGACGGGATTGAAGAGAGGAAAGGGAGGTGGGCTCAAAGAGGGGGAGAGGGAGGAGGATGGAGGGAAGGGAAGGAATGAGGGGGAAGGCAGGCTGAAGGAAAGGAGGTCACGAAACTAGTGGGCTCCCAACGACAATCCCAAGGTGCAAGGTCGGTCATCGCAGGGGTAAGGGAGAAAAGGAAAAGGGTGAGAGAAACGGAGGGAAGTGGAGGGGGGATGAGAGCTTGTGGATAGAACAGGGGAGGGAAAACTCCCCAAGTTCCATCCACAGTCCCTCACCCCCCCACCACCCATTCCCCTTCTCTTCCCTCCTTACCCTCTCCCCTGAACCCTTGGATGCGCCAAACCCCTGTACCCGTTATTGCCTTGGTGGTGTGCACTAAAGCGAGTTGCTTTAGTAACTCAAACAGCCGCGCATGGTTACCGCCCTACAGAGTAGGGTTACCAGCGTGGCAGCCAATGAGAGAACACAGATTGCGCCCAAAGTTCGTGCATTACCAGAAAAGGGCCAAAATCGGCCGGACAAGGACAACAATAGCCACATTAGCAAGGCAACTAAGAGGCGATTAAGAGGCGATCAATGCGCTTAGTAGATGCGGAGGGGCTTGCCCATGGTGCTCTTGATGTACAGCGACTTGACCTGCGAGGTAAGCAGTGGACAGGGGAGAGAGGAGAGAGACGGAAAGGTGGGGCAACCATGAGGAAGTGGAGAGACGAGACAATTGGAAATCGAGAGGGCATGCGGAGAGGATTGCCCATGGTGCTCTTGATGTACCGCGACTTGACCTGTGCGGGGGCGCAGTGGACAGGGGGCGAGAGGAGAGAGACAGAGAAGGGGAGAAAGAGGGAGATTGGAGAGGCGAGTCTAACAATGGAAATCGAGAGGGCGAAACAACGGGCTTGCCCATGGTGCTCTTGATGTACCGCGACTTGACCTGTGCGGGCGCGCAAGGGAAGAAGAGATGGAGAGAGACGGAGGGGAGGGAAGGAGTGAGACGGGGAGGAGACAGCCCGAAAAAACGGACACTGAGAGCACCTGAGCAGCGAGACGAGGAAGTTGACAGAGAGCTGCACGTTCTGGAAGATCTCAACGAAACTATACCAAGTCACGAACCCACGGGGCACAGAGCTACTATCGAGTACGTACGTTCTGCCAGTTCTTCTTCAGAAGCGAGACGAGGAAGTTGACCGAGAGCTGCACGTTCTGGAAAATCTCAACGAAACTATACCTTGTAGCGAACCCACGGGGCACAGAGCTACTATCGAGTACGTACGTTCTGCCAGTTCTTCTTGAGCAGCGAGACGAGGAAGTTGACGGAGAGCTGCACGTTCTGGAAGATCTGCTTCTCCTCCATGTCGCAGTTGCCCACCGCAATGCCCATGCACAGCACCTTCTTCAGCTGGAACTTGATCGTCGACTTGGCCTCCAGCAGCTGCGACAGAGAGGGGAGCGCGAGAGACGAAAGGGGGGGGGGGGGGGGGGGTAGCGCAGGGAAAAAGGGGAAGGGGATGCGATGAGCTGAGCCCACCGCGATGCCCATGCACAGCACATTCTTCAGCTGGAACTTGATCGTCGACTTGGCCTCCAGCAGCTGTTGGTGAGAACGGGAGGGAGGAGAAGCGCAGGGGAGAGAGGGAGAGGATGCCATGAGTGCAACGCGATGCCCATGCACAGCACCTTCTTCGGCTGGAACTTGATCGTCGACTTGGCCTCCAGCAGCTGTTGGTGAGCACGGGAGGGAGGGAACCAGAAGGTGCCCTTGAGATTATGGCCTTTAAGCCAGGAACACATGGTACCTCTTAACGAGTCCTGGACCCTAGCCTTGTATCGCGTACGAAACCCTCACCTTGCTGTCGAGAGGCTCGTGGTGAGTGCAGAGCGTGGGGAACTTGCCGGCCTTGTTCAGCCCGGGGCCGAGCAGCCTGGGGATCTGCTTGATAATAGCCTCGGAAGCCAGGAACGCGCAGTACCTCATAACGAACTACAAACCCTAACCTAATACCGCGTACAAAACCCTCACCTTGCTCTCGAGGGGCTCGTGGTGAGTGCAGAGCGTGGGGAACTTGCCGGCCTTGTTCAGCCCGGGCCCGAGCAGCCTGGGGATCTGCTTGATAATGGCCTCGGACGCCAGGAACGCGTGGTACTTCTTGGCGAGCTTCTTGACGAGCTTCTTGTTCTTGTTCATCTTCTTCAGCGCCTCCACGCCCATGCAGTCCAGACTGATCTTCTCCGCCTGTTGGGGGGGAAATTGAACAAGGAAAATAGGGTTACTTCGCCAGCCCTCTTCGCCTTTCGCCAGCGCTTCTTGACGAGCTTCTTGTTCTTGTTCATCTTCTTCAGTGCCTCCACGCCCATGCAGTCCAAGCTGATCTTCTCCGCCTGTTATAAGGAAAGCGGAACGCGTGAGAGGAAGCATAACGGGTCTTGCCACAACAGGTAAGGGCCTAAACGCTGTCAAATTCGTCGCCAGCTTGCCCAAACGCAAGCATCGCAGCTGCGAAGGACCCATTCCTTCAATGCGCTGCGACACGCGGTTCGAGAGGACAGAATTCTCACAGCATGCACAAGAAGCACTTGAAGGACCTATATGTGATCTTCCAAGCGACAAGCCACACCCCACCTCCTCGACGTGCTGGCTATCTCCAGCATGGACACGCGGTACTTTGAAGCGACCCGTTACTAAACTATGTTTCATAGCACACTCCGACGACTGGACAAATCTACCTCAACACGTGCTGCGTATCTCCGAGCATGCACACCCGGTGCTCGGATCGACCTCTTACGTATTCAAACAACGCACCTCCTCGACGTGCTGGGCATCTCCGAGCATGCACACGCGGTACTTGGGGCGCGGCACGTGCGGCAGCTTGATGGACCCGCTGAAACGCTTGTCCTTCTGGGGGTCGTAGTTCTTGAGCCCGATCTGCAGCTCGATCGTCTCCGAGAACTTGCGGTTCTTCTCCTTCGAAGCCGTCAGCAGGTTCGTGATCGCCTCGCGCAGAACATCGCTCTGCAGCTTACTGCGGCGCGCAGAGGGGGGACGAGGGTGATACAAAGGGCACAGTGTAAGAACAGTGAGTTGAGAGAATAGCCAGTGGTTCGATACGTCGAACCACTGCAGCACGTCGAGCGGCACGTCGCTCTGCAGCTTACTGCCGCGCGCAGGAGGGTGACGGTGTTACAATGGGCACAGTGCAACAACGGGTGATATGCTAGTTGGCGGTTTGGATGAGAATATTTAAAAATGTAAGATTAGGGCGAACTTCGTGAGGCAAACTATTCGAGACAGGGACTACCACCATCATATTTCTTGGTGAATGACTCGCAGGCAACGAATGCTGAATGCTATTTGCCAGGCTAATTGCTCGTAGAGCTTACTGACCTCATGGTGGCCCGCTACAAGGGACAAAGGGGAGAAGGGTTCTGCAAGAGAGGTAGCTTCCGGAGGGGAGAAAGGAAAAACGAGAAGGAAGGCGACGACTGAAATAGGAGTGTGAGTGGAAACGGACGGAGGTGTTACTGAAGGGACGGACGGGAGGAGATTCGACAGTTTTGGAAGGGTTTGAGAAGAAGTAATGGAGTTCGACTAATAAGACTTGTTACCTGATCATGCTCCAAACGAAGTCTGCTATTATCAAGAATGTATGTTTCAGGGCTTCGTTTTTCAGCATTGAAGCTTGCTTCAAGTGCGTGCAGCGTGGGATGGAGTTTTCGATTGATATATGACACGTAAAGATAGTTCGTCTGTCTAAAATCGTTATAGAGGCTGACTACAAACAGTCGATTTTCCGTGGCACTACTGGAGGCTCGGAACGTAACGTGGTGCCGCATGACCGCACTTTTCCAGAGGGTCTCAGGTTGTTGACGTTTGATCCCGGGCAAACCGACAGCCCTGGGCCGGACATCGCGCATTTTCCCCTGAGGAGGACACCGTACCTGTCGGCGCGAAACAAAACCCACAGCCCGCGAGTGGGGTGCGTGCAACCAACCAGAGCAAGAGCCCACTGTCGAGCCGCACGAGACCGCTTACCAGATCTATGCCGTTGATGGTTTCTTTACCCAACCATCGCGTAAAACGGACGGTTATCAGATGGGCCACCTGACCGACCACCTGTCCCCACAGCCCCACCACTTCCAGCGAATCGCCAGCCATTCCATCCCACGTCGGTGCTGCTGAAGCGGCCGAGCGGGAGCTCCCCTTGCCCAACATGCCTGCCTTGCCACACTGCCCGTCCGCCGCACACAACGTGATGTGATCAGTTCGGTGACAATAGTGACAATAATTCAACCCCCCAGATACATCTGTTACCCAATCAAAACCTTCTCAAAACTAGCCGAACCGATTAAAACAAAGTAGCATTGCTCTGGCTTTGCGTGACATCGATCACACCTATTTAGTGTCTCGCTGTAGCTCAATTCAGTTTCCAGTGTCATCACTCACAGGCTCTCCATAACGCTCTCAGCTAGCATTGTTCCTCAGTCACATTCCACCATTCTCTATCATTCCTTCATCTCCTCCCGTTTGCTGTTGCTTCGACTCAACGCGCCTTCCTTGCCTCCCTCGCCACATTTCAAGATGGCGATCCGATCTGTTCGACTTCTACTGCTAACCGTCGCGCTAGTCTCGCTAGCGTCAACGGCAGCGGCGGCGTACAACGCGGTGGCGGGCTTGAAAGCGATTGAAACCGCGCTGAAGAATAAAAACTACCAGTCCGCCATCACGCTCATGAAGACAAGCAGTAAGTGACACATCAAGTCGAATGCAAGACCTGCACTCGCTGTGTATCCTGTAAGGCGTTTTGAAAAGCAGAAACGCAGCGAGCGTCACGACAGGTCGAAAGCAACACCAGCACAGGTCGACAGGTCGACAGGCCGGTGTTTCACTCGACTCGACAAGAGGTCGTTTCCAGTGGAGCAGCTCTTGAGCTGCCGGCTCTTAATAGTTTACTTATGGGTTCCACTCACTACTCGCTCGAAAGCCCTGATCCGGAAACGTAATGTGTCAAGTTCGGCAGAAAGCTCGCAGCAACTTTCCGTTTTCATATTAGGTGGATCCGTAAGCGGCTCTTTTTGCGTGGATAATTTCACAGCCTACTAATATCGTTACTGCCTCCGGCTCTCTAGCAGTAGTCAACAGTAGTCAACGACGCATCGACTCTGTGAGTGACGAGCGATGGTGCGTCGCGTTCTGTCGTGTTTTTCAAGCAAACGTAGCATCATGTGGGTCTTATCCATGCTCTCTCATAGCCATTTCGTCATCCGTCGTTTCGTTATCCTTAACTTGTCTAATTACCGCCTTTCGCACCCTCTCCTGTTGTACCCAACCGGGACTTGTAGATGAATGCAAGTCAGTTGTGAAAGTCACTACATGCCCACAAACAAAAACTGCATCTGTCGTCACTCATTCCTTCGCAATGACAACATTGCCCCTGTAACACGTGACGCTGCATTCGCTTCCTAATTTATATTCTCTTTGTACGAGCTCCTCTCAACATTTCTCCTTCACCCCTTTCTCTCTTCTTCCCTCCCCTCCTCTCTCTACCCTCCTCTCTCTCCCCTTCTTTCTCCCTTCCTCCACTCTCTTCTCCCCTCGCCTCCGCTCTCTTCTCCCCTCCCCTCCACTCTCCTCTCCCCTACCCTCTGTCTTCCTCCCGCTCCTCTCTCCTCTTCACGCCTTCCTCCCCATCCCTCTCCCCTTTCCTCATGTTCCGCCCGCAGAATTCAACAACACGCTCGTCTCGATTCTGCCCAAGTACAAGGTGACGCTGCTGGTGGGGCAGACCAAGGCGTTCGGCAAGCTAAGCAACTGGGCATCGATCAAAAAGAATGCGCACACGGGATTCCAGATCGCCGCGTTTAACATGCTCGGCGACCTCCACACGAAGAAATCCATGCTGGGTTACGCTGTGGGAAAAACGGTAGGCTATCTACTTGCTGTTTCCCTTTCCGCTTCGCTATTGTTTTTTTTCGTCACTATTGAAATCATTTCAGACGCAGCTGGTGGGGTAGACCAAAGGTAACTCATGTGTCTGCGGTGTTGCTTTCTTGTGGTGGTGGTGTTACAGTTCGGTACGGGTGACTACAGTTACCTCCAAACGAAGCTCAAATCTGCTGGCAAAAAAATCATGCTCGGAACCTCCACCAGCAACGGGTCGATCGTTGATTGGACACTCTACATGGATGCGCAAGTGATCATCCACGGTGTAGACACCGTTATCATGCCGCCCAAGTTCAAGTAAAGTGTTTAAAACCGAAATGCAAAATAGTGAACCCAACGCCAGCTTGAAAGAGGGCTTGCCGTGCGAAACAATTTTCGAACCAAACCGACAAGCATCCAGTGTTTCATTGAGAGCGTTTTTGGCAGTTCGAACACATCTGATTGGTTCCCGCCAAAAACAAAAGAAGGAACACAGCACGTCAGGCGTCGCATATCAGTTTGGGAAGCTGCACAACACTAGCACTGCGATCGCTCATGCACGTCCTTGCGATTTTGGGCCCAGCTTGGGGTTCAAGTTGGGTCTGGGTGAACAACTACTAGTTCTTCCGATCATTCATCTCTACTTCTTAGTTATGTGTAGCATGTCTAGCCATAGAACCGTCAACTTAGGCCGTTGTTGTTTCAATTTAGACGCGTAGTGAAGCTGGCATGGTTGTGTAGTACTTTGTGCCGTTTCGAATGCCCTCTCGCCGCCTTCCTATCTCATCTCGCTCGCCCTCCCGTTCCGATCGACCGTCCTGACGCCGTCCCGTCGACCGTCGCGTCGCGATCATGTCGTCCGTCCCGTCGCCGTCCCGTCGCCCTCCTGCCGTCATCTCCATTACCCCTCTCCTCCAATCACCCTCGCGATTTTCCCGTCGCTCTCTCTCTCTCGCCGCTCCCTTTCCTGAACCAATCGCCTTCTCCTCTCCCTTCTCGTCGCTCTCTCTCTCGCCGCTCCCTTTCCGTTGCAATCGCCTTCTCCCATCCCTTCCCGTCGCTCTATCTCTCTCCCCTCCCTTCCCATCGTTCTATCTCTCTCCCCTCCCTTCCCGTCGCTCTTGCTCTCTCCCCTCCCTTCCCGTCGCTCTCTCTCTCGCCGCTCCCTTCCCGGCGCGCTCTCTCTCTCGCTGCTCCCTGCGCGTCGCTCTCTCTCTCGCCGCTCCCTTTCCTGAACCAATCGCCTTCTCCTCTCTCTTCTCGTCGCTCTCTCTCTCTCTCTCTCTCTCTCTCTCTCTCTCTCTCTCTCTCCCTCTCTCTCTCTCTCTCTCTCTCTCTCTCTCTCTCTCTCTCTCTCTCTCTCTCTCTCTCTCTCTCTCTCTCTCTCTCTCTCTCTCTCGCTGCTCCCTGCGCGTCGCTCTCTCTACCGCCGCCTGATTTCATTTCTTTATTTCTATCTTCTTCGCCTGATTTCACCTGTGTGTGCCATGGATTTTGCTTGATCATGCCAGTGTTCGCGCAGGATTTTGCTAGTTTTTGCCTGTGTGCGCGCTGGATTTTGCCTGTGTGTGCACTGTTTTTTGCATATGGGAATTCTTGTGAAGTTACGACGGCTGCTCTGTTGAATGTGGGATTGCAGCCTTGCGCCAAATTCGCACACGAATGTGGGTGAAAGTCGCCACCAATCAGATTTGTGAACAAGTTCCTCATGTTTCCCGTTCAGATCAAGACTCGTCTGGGATGAAAAAAAGTAGAAACGTACAGGCCGTCAACTTTTCAAACGTTCGTAACAAACTTGTATTTTCAAGTGGACCCAACTAGAAGGGGGGGTACACTATTTTAGCTGCTGGCTTTAAGACTAATTTTACTGGTGTACTAGTTTTACATCTTCCATAGGTTGAGGTTAATAAGTTGCTGCACTATATGTTGGTGCCGCATTTCATAAGTGCCATGCTTGCTTGCCTATCGTGTATCAAAGGCTGTGGATACCTGTAGCATGAGCTGTGGATACCGCATCTGTAGCTCAAAGCAAAAGGCATACATGAAATGTATATTTTTAAAAGCTGTAACGCTTTTCAAAATTATGTATTTTGAAAGCGAAGCTGCTTGTAATGTAGGATTTGGCAGCGTCGAGCCGCGCTAAACGCCCGTTTTGGAGTACAAAACGTGGGCTGGAGGTCATTTCCCTCCACCCACGTCTCTCATTTTCAAACGGTTTAGCCGATTTTCCCGCCCCCCCCCCCCCCCCCCCCCCCTCCTCGAAAGCAGGATAGCCTTAGTAACATAGAGGCATATGATTGTTATGTCACTCCATGGATTCCAATTTTACTAAACCCATTTGAAATGAGACGATGCCAATTGCTACATGCAAAAAAGCAAGCTTTCTAAATTGCAACCACGGTAACATCGGCCACGATACCTGCACCGGTACCATTCCCAGAGGACCTTTCATCACCATCTCCAGCTTCAG